CGGCGCAGCGCCTGCCCCCCCACGGCTACCCCCTGGAGCACCCGTTCAACAAGGACGGCTACCGCTACATCCTGGCCGAGCCCGACCCGCACGCCCCCGACCCCGAGAAGCTGGAGCTGGACTGCTGGGCCGGAAAACCGATCCCCGGGGACCTGTACAGAGCCTGCCTGTACGAGCGAGTGCTGCTGGCGCTGCATGACCGAGGTACTCAGCTCCTCGGGCCCCCCTTCCTGCCACAGGCACGCAGGTGACACCCACCCCTGCACGCCCTAAAGCACAACTGAGGGGTGCTGTGCTCCCCTGCAGCTCCCCAGCTGAAGATCTCTGACGACAGGCTGACTGTGGTGGGGGAGAAGGGTTACTCCATGGTGCGAGCCTCGCACGGCGTGCGCAAGGGAGCCTGGTACTTCGAGATCTCCATGGACGAGATGCCTCCAGACACGGCTGCCAGGCTGGGCTGGTCACAGCCCCTGGGTAAATCATTTTACAGAGCATTTCTTAGCTGCACGTTTCTCCTGTGCGCTCCCCACGGTCACCACGAAGCGTTTGTTTCCACAGGGAACCTCCAGGCCCCTCTGGGATACGACAAGTTCAGTTACTCCTGGCGCAGCAAAAAGGGAACCAAGTTTCACCAGTCCATAGGGAAACACTACTCCTCTGGTTATGGACAGGGTGATGTCCTGGGATTTTACATCAGCCTTCCAGAGGACACTGAGACGGCCAAATCCCTGCCTGACACCTACAAAGACAAGGTGAGGTGCAAGTTCACTGTTGCATTAAGCATTGGCAGGTGGGAAACTGGAAAAGGAGTTGCTGTGGCTTCACTCGTGCCCCTTTCCGTGCATCCTTCCCATCCTCCCTCTCCGTGCCTCCGTGGGGGAGAGGCCCAGAGTGTTGATCTCAAGAAAACAAAATACTCCTGGATGGGATTGCCCACATCTCCTTTCACCTTCCCCTCCTGGCTCTCAAATCTCTGAGCTGTGGGAATCACTGCTCACAGGTACTCTGACAGCAGGCACACCTGGCCCTGAGCAGGGCAGGTGACAGGTGACAGATTTTCGGGTTTGTTCCTGACGTTGTTTGCTGCTGTTTCAGGCTTTGATCAAATTCAAAAGCTACCTGTACTTTGAAGAGAAGGATTTTGTAGACAAAGCAGAGAAGAGCCTAAAGCAAGCCCCTGGAAGCCAGGTGAGTTGTTGCTGTCACTTTAGCCCATGCCTGACCTGAGTGAAAGGGAGCAGGGATTAATCTTGTCCGGGTTGCTGTGTCCTGACAGCACCATCAGTGGGAAAACCCTTCATTTTTCAGATCATATTCTTCAAGAATGGTGTCAGCCAAGGAGTTGCCTTTAAGGACATCTTTGAGGGGGTTTATTTTCCTGCTATTTCTCTGTACAAAGGCTGCACGGTAAGCGAGGGGTCTTTGAAGGGGAATTCCTAAATCCATCAGTTTCAGTAATGCACAAAGTGTGGGCACTGCAGGAGTGTTCCAAGTGAAAAGGAAAGATGGGAATCATGTCAGTGACTCTGGAACACTCTTGCTGTTCACATGTGTAATGAGATTATCAAATTGCTGAAGTAACATCAGCAATGTTTGTTCCTGTGGGCTTGCACAGGGAATAGGAAGGGACGAGGGCAGAGGACAAAAGAAATCTTCCTGGATTTTCAGATTTTAAAAAATGTGTGTTCCACAGGTTTCTATAAACTTTGGGCCATATTTCAAGTATCCACCAAGAGACATCACTTACCATCCTGTAAGTAAAACTGAAGTTTCTGCCTCCTCTTTGAGAGCCTCATTGTTTAAATCAAAGATGTTTTGGTGTGATTCATACCACACCTGTACCTGTCCTTCAGTCTCAGTACCTGGATAGTGTAGCCAAAAGGATTAAAAATACTTAACGACAGATATCCAAATAAATCATTAAGTTTTAATTGAATAATGGGTGCTGTTACCTTGTTCCTCTTGACAGATTGTTGCCTGTGTTGGCCTCATTTGTCAGTAAGGGGGTTGAATTGTTGTTCAAGGAAACACTTGGAGTTTTCCCCCTGCCATTACTATTTTGAGGAGGGAAAGAGCCCTGGGATGTGTGGTCAGTCCTTGTGCAGGAGGGGAGCTAACTGTGCTTCCCTCTGCAGATGAGTGACATGGGCTGGGGGGCCGTGGTGGAGCACACGCTGGCTGATGTCCTGTACCACGTGGAGACAGAGGTGGATGGCAGGAGGAGCCCACCCTGGGAGCCATAAACCCCCAGCACCGTGGATTTATTGCAGAGGAACATGCATCTGTGTCTCAGTGGTCAGCCAAGGACCCAGCAGGCCGAGGTGGATGCAGCCCTGGCTGGCAGGTGTTGTCTGTGTGTTCACACCTCCCCCTGCCCCTGCGAGTCACTTCTGGGGTGTTTTGTGATAATTTGGGGCCTCTCTGGGAGCCCCCAGGACCATTAGGGTGTTGAAGAACACCCAGGGTGTAGCTGGAGCTGCCAGGTGTGGCTGCAGTGACCCCTGTGCTCAGGTGTGCTTGGCTCATGGTGACAACAGCTCCCAGCCAGGACGGCTCTGCTGGAACGACACGGCTGCATGTAAGACTGAAATCTGGGCTTCTGTCCAAACTGTATTTTTTTTCCCCCACAGACTGGAAACCATTTTAAAAATAAAGGCTTTAACTCTTCTTTTTATTCTTTTTTTTTTTTTGTCTTGTAAATTGTTACAAGTGACATTAAAACTCAAAGTAGCTACACTTGAGCTGAAGATCTCCTGGGTACAGGAGTTACGTGGGGCCTCCTGCTAATGATCATCATTGCAGAGCTTTGGGTGAATAAATAACTTGACACTTCTTATGTGTTGGTACAGGAAAAAATAAATTAGAGCTGCTTTGAGGGGGAGAGGAAACAAAATTGTTAAGTAAATGCTGTTTGAGTTTTGGGAGAGTAAAATTTGAGGTTCAATCAGGCTTGTGTTTGCCTCACTGAGGTTGTACCTTCCCAGTCAGCTGTCTCCCAGACCTTTAATTGTAGACAGCACTAATTAAAGCTTTATTTATTAATTGAAAGTAATTAGGGAGAGTGGAGTTGGCTGACTGGGCCAGCACATGCTCAGTTAAGCAACTGCAGGAATTAAATTTTTTGGTCCTGCACTTACACAATGAGCTCAATAAATAAACCTTTCTATTTATTGATTGTAACTATGTATTAATTAGTGGAGGCTGCTATTGAAGGCCTTGGCTAATTGAAGTGACAGGATCCCACACTGTGCCCCTGAAGGAAGCCCTGGAGGGGTGGTCAGCAGGTCACAGGCACTGTCCTGGCCAGGCGCTGCCGGAGGTGTTTGGCAAAGTCCACCTGTGTCTGGGACAGCACCTGGTTGATGATGGTCTTGGGCAGCCACCCCTGGGGAAGAGCAGATACAGCCTGTGAGCAGAACCTGCCTCCCCAAAGCCCCTGGCTCCCCCCGGCCTCCCCCAGCCCCAGGTACCTTGAGGTCGATGCTGAGCAGCCAGGTGAGCCTGGTCTGGGAGGGGCTGCCGGGCAGCGGGCGCAGGACCATGCAGGTGGGACCGTTCTCAGCCCTGGTGGGGGGAGAGGCCCAGCTCAGACCTAAACTTGGACTTTTCAGCCTCAAAAATGCACTTTGGGGTTCCTGCAGCAGCTCCTGCTGCTCACAGAAACCCAGCGACTCAGCCCAGAGTAAAACCCTTGTGTCCTGTGGGAATGTCCCTCCCTGCACACACAGAGCTGTGTCAGCAGTGGTGGGTACCTGATGAAGCCCTCCCTGCACACACAGAGCTGTGTCAGCAGTGGTGGGTACCTGATGAAGCCCTCCCTGCACACACAGAGCTGTGTCAGCAGTGGTGGGTACCTGATGAAGCCCTCCCTGCACACACAGAGCTGTGTCAGCAGTGGTGGGTACCTGATGAAGCCCTCCTGCTCGGGCATGGCCCCGTAGGTCGTGGACATCCCGGCCAGCACGCAGGTGGAGCCGCGTCTCTTGGCGCACCTCACGCTCACAAAGTCCCGTGGCCCAACGATGTTCCCGGGGGTGGCGGCCGCCTTCTCATGGGTGATCACCGTGTCCTTCCCAATCTTCTCCAGAATCTGCAGTTCAGAATTAAAACCTCCATTTGAAGTGTTTACTGCAAGCACAGCTAAAACTGAGGTTGCCAGGTGTTCAGGTACAGGGTCTGACAAAGACTTGGTGTTTACAGTGACAATAATTCCAAATACTTCTCGCCCCCAGGCACAGAACTGTTTTCAATTCCTGTGTGAAAATTCCCTTAATTCCCTATTCCCTTAATGCTTTTCTGATTCCTTGTGCCTTGGGGCTGTTTCTTCCCCAGATCAGCCCCCAGTTCCAGCAGAACTGGCTGCTCCTTGCAGGAAAATGCCTTTCCTGCAGAATTAGTCACATAGAAACTGCTCCAGACTCGCCTCTGCTGCAGCAATACTGCTGCAAAGATGCTGCAAAAACTCCTCTACATCTGCAGCAGGAGGTGGAGAGGACACAGGCTGACTGTGACAGGTCTGGCACACATTTCCTACCCTGACTTCTTTGACGTTGGGGTTCCAGTCTCCCATCTGCTCCATGTTGTCCACCAGCTCTCCGTACACCGTGTCCAGGGGCTGGTCCACCACCACCTCCAGCCGGAACACCTTCCCCACGTCTGGCAGCACCTTGCTCAGCACTTTATCTCCATTACCCTGGGGAGGGGATGGCACAATTACCACCAGAGCTGCTCACAGCAGGGCTGCAAGGCAGCACCACAGGGCAGAGCACCCACCGCCACCGTCTCTGTCTTCCAATCATCCTGGTCCTCCAGGATTCTGAGGGATTTCTGCAGGGCTTCCTCTCCTTGCTTGATGTAAGACATTTCCACCTCGCTGAAGGGTTTCTCCTCCAGCCTTGAGCCTGCCAGCACCAGACAAAGGCAGATGAGCTTTATCTACACCAAATACCCTTTTCTGTGCCCAGGGCACGGGGGTTAAACCCAGTTCCCACTCTGCCGTTGGTTCAGCAGAAGCAGAGGCCAACCTCAAGCAGGTTTTTCCCCAGCCTGGGATGGCCTCCCCCCAGCAGGAAGGAGCAGACCCCTCAGGGGTCACTTACTGAGCAAGGAGCTTCTCCTGCGCACCTGGTGGATCCAGGTGCTGGGCCCTGGGCTGTGGCTGGCGAGCCTGCTCAGCTCCTGGCTGATGGCCACGGCAGCTTGTCTCCTCAGCCCTGGGGGGGAGAGAGAGAGAGAGAGAGAGAGAGAGAGAGAGAGAGAGAGAGAGTGTTACCTGCTGGCAACACACTGCCCAGGCCTTGCCCTTAACTTGGGCTTTTCCCCAGTTTAAACACACAGCATGGAAAAGTCCCTGCTTGTCACCATCTCAGTGACCCTACAGGAGCAGGGAGAGCTGGCTGCCATCACACTGCCCTGGCATAGGCTGTCCTAAGCAATCCTGAGCTTGGCTCCAGCTCCGAGACACACAGAAGTAAAAATATTGAGGAGCACTGTGCAGGTGCCAGGGAAAAGCATGGAAATGGAGCCCAGAGGTACAAAACTCTCACAGCCAGAGGGAGTGGGAGCCAGAGCTGGTCACAGTGACACGGGCCAACCCCTGTGAGAGGTATGGTGGCAAAAGGGTTTTCAGGGTTTCAATTTCTGTGATTTCTAAATTAGGAACCCAACATGGTACAGAGCGGGAAGAACATCCCCGAGGCCCCAGCCACTATTCTGAGGAGTTTAGAAAGAAAGAGGGTCCTTTCTGGAGCCTGTGACTCAACAGGAGCTTCTCTAATAAACTCTTGTCACAAACTCCCCCTCGGAAAGAATCCTGGAGCCCCAAGGAGCCGGAGAGGGGCTGCTCCCTGTCCCGGACAGCCGGGCAGGAGCTGCTCCAGCTTTGTCCTGTCCCGGACAGCCGGGCAGGGGCTGCTCCAGCTTTGTCCTGTCCCGGACAGCCGGGCAGGGGCTGCCCCAGCCCCGAGCCGGACTCACCGGTCATGTTGCGCAGGTGGCGGTAGGAGATGGCGGCGCAGAGCTTGGACGTGGCTGGCAGCATCTCCGTGCGGGGTCGGAGCCGCGGGCTGGGCAGTGGCTGCGGTTGTGGCTGTGGTGGCCGCGGTTGTGGCTGTGGTGGCCGCGGTTGTGGCTGTGGTGGCCGCAGGGGTGGCCGCAGTGTCCGTCCGTCTGCGCCGAGCGCCGCTCTGCCCCGGCCCCGCCGTGCTCGGCCTTAAGTATCTGGGGCTGAAGGATTCTGCCCCGTCAGCCGGGAGATAAGAGCCGTCACTCCGGGCTGGGCCCCGCGGGCCAAGGCCAGCCCCGGCTCCGCACGCATCTGCCGGGGCCACGGGCAGGGCACGGGGCTCGGAGCGTGCGGGGACCGGGCAGGACCCCCGGGTACGGCCACGGGAGCAGGAGCAGGCACAGGCACAGCCATGGCTACAGCCACAGGCACGGCCACAGCCCCAGCCCGGGCACCTGGGGCCCCGAGGGCCAGGGGGATGCAGAGCCCCGAGCCCCCCGAGCAGCTCCTGCCGTGCCTGCAGGGGATCCCTTGCCAGGGACGGAGCAGGGCTCCATGGCATGGACAGCTGTGACAGATCATCACAGCGTCACACAACCAATCCTTAACACTAGGAAAGATCCCGAGGTCATGGAGTCCAACCTTTGATGGGTAACAGTGGATAATCAGGGATAACGATGGACGACAGCATCTCACAGCACAACCATCGTGGAATAACGACCCAGGCTGAGCCTCTGCAAACACTGTGCACAAGAGTCAGGACAGCCTGTAGAACACTGAATATTAAATACTTTGAGCTGCTGAGCCTGGGACTGGAAGTGAGGGGCAGTCCCCCTATTCCCCAGGCCCTGTTATCTGCCCCAGCAGTGCAGTGCAGTGATAACACTCAAGGCTGAAATGACATTTCTGGGATGAATTATGGCCTGGAGAGCAGCACTCCCAGGAACCTGTGAATTACAGCTGCTTCCTTTGACGTCAGCCCCTGCACCCTCCTGCAGGGAGCCTGACCTTCCTCTCCCATTTCAACAGTTTGGCCCAGGGGGAGGTCACCCCCTGACTGCGCCAGCAGCCCGGCCCCGGGGAGCCCTTGGTCCCCCCCGGCCTGTCCCCAGCTTTCCTGAGATGATTTGAGTCCCACCTGACATCCAGAACGGTCCTGGATGTTCCTCTCCATTGCCAGGGCTGCCATTCTCCACTGTGTTCCAGAAAACACCTCATGCTCAGGTCAGCAGTGAGGGGTTAGAGGGAGGTGCTGCAGGGACCAGGAGGAAGATAGAAGCTGCACTGTCCCTTTTCCAAAACCTCTCCTGGGAGCTCCTCTGTGCAGCCATGCTCCCACAAGTGTGATTCCCAGGTCATGGCACAGCTCTCCCCATGTCCGGGCTGCTCCCTCCTCCCTGCACACAGTGGAGAGGGAAACCCAGAAGGGTTTGAAATCCCAGAGCCACAGCCAGGAGTGTCCAACCCAGAGCTGACAGGGCTGGGTGCTCGGGGACACCAGGGACACCCCAGCATTGTGCAGTGCCCCAGCCCTCAGAGCCCCCCTGCCCTGAGAGCTGCCAAGACCCAGGACTGTTATCCCAGATGGAGCAGCTGCTCCCAGCACAAGGCCTCCCACAAGGACACGCGGCTGTTTGTGAGAAAAACCAAAACAACCCAAGCAGAGCCGCCCCTCTGGCTCCAGGCTGGAGGGGCACGACCCATCTGTGGGCTCAGGAGGGGACACAGGCACAGCCACACTGTGCCACAGCACGTGAGGAAATGCTGCAGGCGACCAGTCCCCAGAGCAGGACACAGACCCCAAAAAGGCACCCAGAACCCTCGGGGGGATCTGGTTAACTGGGACACCCCAGCCCCCCGAGGCACCCCCAGGCTCCTGCACAAAGTCACCACACAGCTCCACTTGTATTCACTTAGAAGGGCTCAAAGTACAGACACCCACAAATGTACAAAATGTACAAGACCAAAATTCTGCCAACCAAAGGCACTGGAGATCCACCAGGGCCTCAAGGCTGAGGGACCCAGAATCCCGAGGCTGCTCCAAGCCCCTGACCCTGGAGAACATTCCCCTCTTCCAGCCCGTTTCCCACTGCATGGCTGCAGCAGGGAGGCTCTGTGGGGGTCACCCTGTCCCTCCTCCTGCTGCAGCAGGGCTGGGGGGTGTCCCCCCTTCCAAGGCTGCCCTGGTGCTATTTGGAGAGTGCAGACAAACCACAGCCCCTGGTGCCCACAGAGGTCACACCCAATGCTGTGATAAGATAATGGGTCAAGAGCAGCAAGAACAGATCCATGTCTTGCCCTTCATGATACCCCCTAAGAGCCATCCCCTCCCGCCAGAGATTTTCCAGCCACAGCAGCCAGCTTCATAAATGCTTTTTATTGAATTTTGTTAGAAAAAGAAATACCATTTCCTTGTTTAAACCTTTGCTACCCCCAAACCCACAACACCCACTCAAGCCCAATGGGGCAGAAATGTTTCCCCTGAAGGTGAGTGGTCCTTGGGCCACTGAGAGGGGGCCAGTGCTGGCCACAACCGCTGTCAGCTCCCCAGGACAGCTGTGCTCAGCCCCAGCAAGCAGAGCTAGGCTTGTCCTCTGTCCCACCCTGAGACTCCACAGAGATTGTCCCTGCCCACACCCAGGAGGCTCCTGGAGCCTGGCAGCTGCCCAAAGCCAGCCCAGGACTCTCCTACCTGTGGAAGGGCCGGGACACACCCGGGCCAAAGGACTCTCCAACCCCACACATCTGCACTGAGGTGAGGAGGGACTGGAGGTCCAGGCTCTGCAGTGCCCCAGGTGCAGCAGCCCTTCAGCAGCAGGTTAGTGGATTCAGCTGGTAATTAGTGGATTCAGCTGGTAATTAGTGGATTCAGCTGGTAATTAGTGGGTGCAGCTACAGGGGAGTGGCACAGCCTGGCTGGGGGGGACAGGTAATCTTTGTTGGGGTACACGGGGGTACCCAGGTTCTGCTCCCCATCCCAGAGCAGGATCTTGGCACAGGCTCCACTGTTCTCTTGGAGTGAGCCCAGCCCATGGCTGGACCAGGGGTCCCATCTATGCCTGCACAGCACATGGAGGGGACGAGATCTGGCCTGAGGGGGTGCTCATCCTGAGAGAGGAGGAACTGTCAGGACCAGAATACCGGAAAGCCATCAATGTCAGGATCAAGGATTTATTTACATGTCAAGGAAAACTCTCACCCAGAGTCATGTGAGGAGGAAAAAGCAAACAAACCCAAGGAGCAGTGATTTGCCTCCCAAACACAAATTCTTGCAGCACTCCCAGCACTGGGCCCTCCTCACCTCCTTCTCCAGAAGGAGACTAAAGGCATGATTTGTGTACAGTTACCAGCACCACGGAAAATACAATCTGAAAATCAAACCCGCCTTTCCAAGGAGATGTGTCCCTGCCCAGGCAGCTCACGGAGCAGCCCTGGCTCCCTGCAGCACAGCCTCAGTACTCATCCAGCGTGTCTGCCCGTGGCACCGACAGGCCCCTCTCCTTCAGCGCCTGCACCTTCAGCTTCTCCGACTCCTGCTTGGCCTGCTGCTCCACCCGCTGCTCCTCCAGGATCTCCTCGATGGACACCTGCTGCAGGGGTGTGTCGCTCTCCTTCTCCAGGTCCTGCAGGAGAAACGGCCCCTTCAGCTCTGCACAGCATCCCTGGAGCACAGGGCACCCACACCCCTTCCAGGAGTGCCAGCAAAGGGTGGGGGTGACAGAAAACAGAGGTGCTGGAAGCACTCTGAGGGGTGGGGACCCCAAACAGCGCTCAGCTCCTCCTGAGCCCATCTCAGGTGGTGTCCCCTGGTGCAGAGCCAGCAGGGAGGTAAGAGGCAGCCAGCAATGCCACCCTCCAGCAATGCCACACAAGGTGGAGCATCCCCACAGCTCCCTCTGCATTCTTCTTCATCTTTCACATCATCCCAGAGGGGCTGCAGCAGCAGGAGGCACCCCTGCCCTGCAGGCTGGCATTTCTGTGATGGTTCAGCCTGAACTGGCCCTGGAGACGGCTCCAATTCCAGCCCAACACAACAGCAATATTTCACAGCAGACAGACAGACAAACCACAAGCACCCCCAGCTCAGGCCCAGGCTGCAGCAGGAGCTGTGCACTTACAATTTCCCCCAGCAGCACTACATTCTCGCCCCTCACCACGAAGATGCCCCGAGGGATGTCCCCATACTTCTTGCCCACGTGGATGCGCTCCACGGTCTGGTGCAACACCAAGTTTGCTGCAGCAACGAGAGAGACACAAAACCAGCGGCGTTCCACGGTGGATTCAGGCGTCCCCGGTCCCACGGGGCAGTGCCGGTGCTCGCTGTCCCCCATCGCTCGGTCCCCGCAGCCACTGACACTGCAGCCCCCCCGAGCACAGAAGGTGATGTCCACGCCGGTGCTGCAAGCTCCGGACCGGGCGCTTGGTTAGAGGATGAGCATCACCCGGCCGAGTCCGCCCAAAGAGCGGCGCCAGCGCTGGACGCGATCCCAGGTGTGGGAGAAACCCCCGCGAAGCACCGAGTCCAGGGGGGTCCCACACAGAGGCGGATGTTTAACCCCCAGCACAACCACACTGGGAAAACGCACCGCGGTCCCTCCTCCTCCTCCTCCTCCTCCCCTGCCCGGCTCCCCGCGGCCCCGGCCCGGCCGTACCGAACTGGTCGATGCTGCGCAGGTACCCGATGAGCGTCCGGCCGTCCCGCAGCAGCACCAGGTGCTTCTCTGCGGGAAAGGAGAACGGGGGTCGGGCACGGCCACAGGGGGCCGGGACCCCGCCTGGGACAGCGCCACGGGAATAGGGGTCCGGGAGCCGCGGGACAGGACCCGGGGGAGCGGGAATCCAGACCCCGCGGCGGGGCGGCACCGGCAGGGCACGGAGGGGACGGGCCGGCCCTGGAGCACTCACTGTCGATGTCCTGGATCAGGCTGGCCGTGCCGGGCATGTAGTTCATGGTGCCGCCGCGCCCGCAGCGGAAGCGCCGCCATGCGCCGCCGCCGCCACCGCCCCGGAACCGCCCGCGCCGGGCGGGGCCCACCCGGCGCTGCCCTTTTAAACCGCGCCAGCCGTGCGCGCGGGGCCGCCGCCGATTGGCTGGTGCGGGCGGGGAGCGGCCGCCGATTGGGCACGGGGGGCTCGGGGGGCGGGGCCTCGGCGGCGGCCATGGAGCCCCGCGCGGCCGGGCCGTGCCCGCTACACCCGGCGGGGTCCCCGCGCCCGCCCGCCGCGGCCGCGCAGGTAACGGGGGCGTGGGGCGGGCACGGCTCTCGGGATGGGCACGGCCCCGGGATGGGCACGGCCCCGCGGGGCGAGCGGGCAGCGCTCAGCCCAGCCCTGCCCCGGTAACGGGCGCGCAGGGCGGTCCCAGGGCGCGGGCAGCGCCCCCGGCCTCGACTCCTGCCCGGAGCCTCCCACGCCCGCCGGTTTCTCGTGGCTCTGCTCGCGGACCCGTCCAGGCGTGTAACGGGGCAGACAGGAGCGGGTGCACGGGGACGTTTGTGGGCTCGCGTACCTGTGCGGAGATCCCGGGAGCGCGGTGATCGCTGAGCGGGGGGGCCGCGATCCCGTGGTTGGGCATTCCCGGATCCCATCCCACGGCTGGGCATTCCCGGATCCGTTTCCTGCGGGGTTTCGGGCCGCTGTGCCAGTTCCGTGTGCCGAGAACGGCTTTGCCGTGCCCGAGCAGGGTCCGCTCTGCAGTCACGGCTGAGCTTTATGTGAGTTTGGTTCATCCTCGGGGATGTCGGGGCTGGGCCAGCTCTTCCATAAACCCCGGCAGCAGGTTGTACAGCGGAGGGGCAAAACCCTGCTTTGCCCGAAGGTTCAGGGATCTTTCCCTGAGATCCTGTGCTTCAGCGTCCCTCTACAGTCAGGTGGAAACTCACGTTCCCTACACAGGAGTTACGGGATGTATCCAGGTAAATCCTTGGACATTCCCTGGATATGCAGATCTTCCATACGGAGACCCGCAGCACCTGCAACTCAAGGAGCTGAACGCTGGCTGGCAGAGATTATCTGTTTGCATCGTGTCTGTGTGAGAATGAGAGGGGAAATTAACTTTCCTTGAGTGTTTCCCATCCTCGGCTGACTGAGTGAAGCTCAGTGTTAGACCTGGTACAGACAGGTTAGACCAGGAAAGCCTAAAACTGGGACAGATCAGCTTGAGGGCAGAGGAAGCCCCTGGGTAAATGCTGCAGGAAGTGCCAGTCCTCGTTCCTGGAGCACCTGTGCCCGTATCCACGTCCCATCTCCTTCCCTGTGCTCTTCCCTTGCCCCCAGGCCATGGATTCTCCCTATGCCAACGGAGCCTACAGCCCCCCGTACCCGCACTATGCCAGCCTGCCGCAGCCTCGGGGCTTCTACTGCTCGGGGCCCCCGCGCAGCCCCTACCCCCCGGAGCCCACGGGCCTGTACCGGCCCCCGTCGCCCGCTCCCGCCTGGAGCTTCGTGCCCCCGGAGTGTCCCAGCGAGGGCTCGGCGCTCCGCAGGCAGCAGGTCCCCGGCTACTCCCCACCACAGGTAAGGGCACTGCCAGCCCCGGGCGGCTCCTGGCATGGTGGGGCTGGGGGCTGGGGGAAGTGGCTCTGGTGGAGCTGGGGGTCCCCGTGGCTCTTGAGTGCCTTGTCCTGCCTGGTTTTACTCTTAAAAAACTGGTGGTCACATTGTTCTCTGGAGACCCTGAGCTTTTGGGCTAGGAAAGCAGGAACTGGGCAGCCAACCTGAGCTGCAGCCACTTCACAGAATCCCAGAATCGCTGAGGTTGGAGAAGATCTCCAGGATCACAGAGGCCAAGCTGTGCCCAATCCCCAGCCCAGAGCACTGAGTGCCACATCCATTCCTTCCTTGGACACCTCCAGGGATGGGGACTCCACCACCTCGCTGGCCTTTATGTTCCAATGTTTTACAACCCTTTCCATGAAGAAATTCCTCCTGATGTCCAGCCTGACCCTCCCCTGGCACAGCTTGATGCTGTTTCCTCTTGTCCTGTCCCTTGTTCCCTGGGAGCAGGGCCTGACCCCCCCGGCTGCCCTGCCCAGCTCCCAGGGCTGTCTGGGGGTGCAGTGCTGGGGGTGACCCCGGCTGGAATTCCTGTTCCTCCGTCCTTGCAGACCCCGGGAATGCCGATGCCGCAGTATCCATATGGAGATGGCAGTGCAGGGGTCACGGGGCCCCAGCCCAGAGCCCTGGAGGACACGTGGGGCCCCCCCTCTGTCTATGGGGTGCAGCCACGTTACGCCTGGCCCGCGGCCTCGGGGCACAGCAGCCTCTATGATTCACACCCAGCCTGGACTGGCAGCGGGGCTCCTGCCCAGCCTCCCTCCTGGGAGTCACAGGGACAGGTGAGCTCCTGTTTGCACACACAAGACTTGAATCCAGAGCTGTGATTCCACAAAGCACTGGAAGGACAGGATGTCCTGGGGTGGGTCTTGGAATGGGTCTGACGGGCTTTCTCTGGGTTGGATCAGGAATTAAGTGACTCCACATTTTTGGTCCCCAGGCAGTAGCAGCCCTGATGGGGGGTTCAGGGGCTCAGACTCCTCCTCTGGACAGGTGCCCCTTGCTGGGGTATTGCTTTCTGAGATGGGGACCAGAGCACAGATCCCTGTCCCCAGCATCCCCAGCCCTGTCCACCATTTGGTGCAGGATGAGAGCAGAAACTTCTGGGTTTTAAAGGCAATGCACTGAGAGATGTTTTCTCCTTGTGACTGCAGGACTCTGTCTACGACAGACCTGAGCAGAGCCCCAGCCCTCACAGCTACTACTCTGACGTGGAGCACCGGCACCCGGGGGCAGTGACTGAGCACAGGATGGCCAAGCCCGCCCCGTGCCAGCCCCGGGTGCAGTACAGTGCCCAGCCCCAGCTCTATGACCTCGCCCCACGGAAGGCCCTGGCTGGGAGCCGGGAGCTGGGCTTCAAATCTGCTGACCAGCCTTGCACAAATCCTGCAGCCTTGCAGCCGGAGATTCAGAGGATCCTCCACGTGATGGGGGAGGCTGAACAGCTGGAGGAAGAGGTGGATGAATTTGTAGGGAGAAAGACAGATAAATCATACCGGCTCCTGGAGGAGATGCTGACCAAGCTGCTGCTGGAGCTGGATTCCATTGAGACTGGGGGCCAGGACAGTGTCCGGCAGGCCAGGAAAGAGTCCGTCCACAGAATTCAGGCCATACTGGAAAAACTGGAAAGAAAGGGATTGTGAAAGCACGTGAGCCACAACACACAGCCTGTTGTTGAGGTTCCAAAGAATTTCAGTTCTCTCAAATCTCAGCTCTCTCTGCTACGCAGTATTGACAATGGAATAGCAATAAGCCCTGAGTCAACAAATCAAATCAAACCCACCAAAAAAGCCAGCCCAGAAGCCCAGCCCTGATAAACAACTCAGCAAAGGACAAATTGAGAGAGGTTTGAAGCAGCAAGAGTATTTAATGAAGATGTTGAAGAGAACTGGGCCAAGGATGGAGCCCTGTGGGGTCGTGTACAGAGTTCCCCAGACCAGGCCCAGTCTCTGGGTGCCTCCTCAAGCCACAGCCTTTCTTTAAACACTCTTCAGATGTGCTGCAATGTGCAGCCACCAACCAAGACTCTGGGCTTGTCCTCACTGCCTGTAATTTCAGCTTCAGCTCCCTTGCCATAAACCCCGTGTGTCCTCATAGGGGTTGTCTGGGTTTAGTGCACTGAAGGAGCACACTGCAGTGCTGGAGGGAGGGACTGTGCTGGCACAGGTCATGTCGTGCTGTTCCTCTTCTGTGGTGCAGAGCCAGTGTGGGGTGTCCCTGTGGGCACGGGAACAGACTGGAAATCCCAGTTCTGCCACTGGAAGGGAGAAGTGCAAGTCAAGGAAAGAACAGATGCAGGATGCTTGGAAGTGATTTTCAGGTCACTTGGGTCAAAATCCCCTGTTTAATGTCCCTGTCCTGCGAGTTTTGTGTCCCACTGTGCAGCACCATGGGGAGGGAACAGCTCGGCCTGTTCCAGCCTCCTGGTCACCACCTGCACAGCAACTCACTGCTGCGTGTGACTCCTAATAAACCCTGACCAGTTTTAAATGTTATTTTGTAATTGAGATGTCTCAAAGTCTCTTTTTCTTCAAAGAGAAGTGGTGGGGAAGGTTTTGTAACTCAGACCAAAACTCCAGCCCCGCTGTACCAGTGCTGAGGTCAGGGGTGAATGGAACGTCTGAGAAGGCTGTTTTGGGGTGCCCGGGTGCCCCACTGCCTCCCAGGCAGTGCAGATGCTGCAGGAGCCTCCAGCTGTGGCTGAGTTGTGGAAGGGGTTTGGGAGAGATTTGGGATGCCTGAGGCTGGGAGTGCCCTGACCATGCACTGTGTGCTGACAGCCAGCCGAGGTCCTGGAGGCACCTGGCAGATCCCACATTCCCAGACAGGGCTGTGGGCACAGCACTGACCTTTGGAGCTTGTTGGATGTGTCCATGATCACGTGTGGTCATCCTGCACGGCCAGCCACGTCCAGGGTGAGCTGGATGTCCTGGGACAGGGAGAGGCTCAGCTGCTGTTTCATTTTGTGCCAGGCAGGGAGCAGCCAGGCTGAGCTATTCCATGCTTTCAGCCTGGAATCTGCCTGCTGGGGATGGCTGTGCTGGGGGACCAAAGCAATTCACAGCACCCAGGGCTGCCCTGGCACTGTGCTGGTGAAGCATGGCCCAGCCCCTGTGAGTGCCACCCCTTCCCCGACCAGCTGAACCCATCCAGCTATTCCTGAATAACATCTTCCTGAACAGTATTTCTTGTCCCTGCCTCCTTGGCAGAGGGTTATGTAAATCCCTAGAGAAAAAGAGAGAACATGAAGAAGTGGGCTGAAATGGCAGGTTCTCATTGCAGGGCGTGGGGATCCGAGCAGCTCCGTGGGACGGCGTGGCTGCCTGTGACATTCCAGCACACCTGGGTGGGTTTTGTGTTTCCCCCAAAGCTGAGCTGAGCTGGGATCAGGGGTCAGGCCCACGTCCCACAGCTCAGCCTGCAGGAAACTCTGCCGTAGCCACATCCCTACCTGCTGTAGCCACATCCCTACCTGCTGTAGCCACATCCCTACCTGCAGCCTCTGCCTCCTCCACACAGGAGCAGAGCGTGTCACAGCTCGGCCGGATGATCCGAGTGGAGACTGGATCTGGTCTGGTAGGTGCAGGAGCTGTGTCAGCACCGACTGTGCAGGCTCTGCACGCTCTGCAGCTGCAGAACGGGGGAATTGAGCACCCCTGACCCCTCAGTTCTCCTCACCAGTCCCTGCTGTGCCACGGTGAGCACTGGGATAGCAGCTTCTGGCAGCTGGTTTATCTTGCAGCGTCCACCCACATCACAACCCCCAAATTAGAAAGTCTGTCTCTGTTTATCGCTGGGCTCGTCTCTGCAGAAACCAAACTCTTACTCTGGGGTTGCCCGTTGCTTCTCCAGCAGTGCTCGCCCTCGGCAGAGGGTTTCTCAATCGCCACGGAAGCTAAAGTGTCACAGAGGAACTGAAAAACAAACATTAAATCAGCACCGCGTGGTTTCTGCTGCAATCAGCCCATGCTGGGGTGTTTGTTCATGCCGCAGCTGGCACCGGGGTGGGAGTTTCCCTGCACCCCAGTGCCCTGCATCCAGCTCGGGGCCACGGTGACCCCAGCCCGGGTGGGGATCGCGGGCAGGGGTGACGGGGAGGGAACAGGGGCCGGGAACGCGGGCAGGGGTCAGGGATGACAGGGCAAAGGTCTCAGGCAGGGGGTGCGGGCAGGGATCAGGGGCAGAGATCGCGGGCAGGGGGTGCGGACAGGCACTGCCGGCACAGATTGCCGGCACTGCGGGCACAGATTGCGGGCAATCCCCGCTCCTCCCCGGCCGTGACGGCGGGGGCGGGCCGCGGGCAGCACCGCCCCGGGCTGGGCGGGCACCGGGGCCGGAGCGGAGCCTGCGCTGCCCCCGGGCCGGGCCGGGCCGCGCCGCAGCAGCACCGGGGCAGCGGGGCCGGGGCCGCTCGGGGCAGCGGGGCCGCGTTCCCCGGTTCAGGGCGCGACCCGCGGAGCCCCCGGTACCGGCGGCACCGGCGCTGCCCCCGCAGCAGCCCCATGGCCGCGCAGGAGCCGCCGCGGCCGCCCCCGGGCGCTGCCGAGCCGGCGGAACCGGAGCCCGGCGGGCGCTACGAGGCCGTGGTGCCGCACTGGTTCTACTGCAAGGTCACGGACACGCGGGAGCGCTGGGTCCCGTTCAGCGCGCAGGACTCGGAGCGGCTGGAGGAGGCGCACGGCGCAGGTAGGGCGGGACGGGCCGGGGGTCCCGCCGGTCCAGCCCCCGCCACCGCCCTTCGGGTCCGCATCCCCCGGCCCCGATCCTGAATGGACCTGAATGGGGAGGGGCACGGGGGAGCATCAGGTGTGTGCTTGGGTAGCAGGGAAAATTCCCTGGATGCATCCCTAGCTTCCACCTGGGATGCTAGATTTTTCCCTCGAGGAATTTTAAATTGGGACTCCTTTGGCCATGTGCCTGCTCCCAATAACGGAGCTGTTAGGATGCATCAAATGGTCTGACCCCATTCAGCTGATACCGCTCTAAATTATATATACTCATACTGCAAAGCATCCTCTGGTGAGGCTGAGAGAACGCTGGCAGGAGGGCCGGAATTCCACTGGGAGAGTCCCCACAGCGTGGAGCTGTGCCTGCTGTGGGAGCAGGGATTGGAGGGCAGCTCCAAGCCCCGTGCTGAGGCCCTCGTGTGCCGAATGTCACCATCTGTGCCACCTGCTGCTGCCACAGGCAGAGCTCCCATTGCCCAAGGGTTGCCTCCCGTCCTCCCTCGCCCAGGAAGTTTCGGATTAGAGGCTGTGCTGCCCAGCCCTGGTGCTGCTGCCTGGCCCAGCCTGGCACGGGGTGCTCTGCCACCAGCCCAGCCCACAGGCAGACCCGAAGGCACCGAAATTCGCAGAGTTTGAGGTCTGTATTGGGGTCTGTAGAGAGTTCTGTGTTTCAGAGAGGAACGGCTTGGAGACAGGACACCCTGGTGCACCCCTCTGTTACACAATGCACTTCCCACGGCCACAGTTTCGCTTTTATCCTCCAGGCGGGGCAGGGAGAAGCCGTGTAAACATGTGCCTAAGCTAGAGAGGATAGTGTAGTGTAATATTTTAATCTCACCTTGTGCCTCCGAGGAAGTCTTGCCCAGATGTCCTGACACCGCTCTCTGAACTCGGGTACAGAGGACGTTGGCATCTGCTGCCGTGGCTCTCACCTGCTCCTGCCTCACCCCTGGCCATTCCAGGCTCCCCTGATTAACTGCAGCCTCGGTTCCCGCAGGGAAGGCGCAGGATGACGTGGTCGTGCCCACGTCGGGGGGCAGGTACGATGTGCACCTGCGGGCGCGGCGCCGCGTGGCCGTGTACTGGGAGGAGGAGGCGACTGAAGTGCGTCGCTGCACCTGGTTCTACAAGGGGGACAAGGACAATAAGTTCATTCCTTACTCGGAGTCCTTCAGTGAGGAACTGGAGGTAAACACACCTTTCCTGTTGGTTTCCATCTCTGCTTTTCCTTGTCACTGTCTCTGACGTCCCAAACCCCAAACAAGGCCACTGGCACCACAGTCAGGCCTGAGGACACGAACTCCAAAGAGGCTTTGGCACGGCATTCCCGTGGCTGATTGATGTAGCTGTGAGTGCTGCCATGGCCTCCCCTTCCCCTGCCCTCCTTGCATCCTTCCACAGCACCTTAAAGTGCCAGGCTTTCCTTTGGGATGATGCAAATATAGAGATATAAAGACAGACGTATAAAAATACCCATCTTTGCAATAATCTCTATTCTGATGTACCAAAACCAGTTCTAAGTTGATGGAGAAGTCTGATGCTGCTGCTGTCAAAGTGGGGAGTTCTTAAACGCTCTCAGCAGGTGATCCTGGGATGACCCTACTGCTCCTCCAGCTGATTTCTCTGCTTCTTTTGCAAAGTGTTGATAAGAGATTCTGAAAACTGGGTTGGGCATTGATGGGCATACTTCCAGCTGACTCACAGTGGGTGTTCTCTTCTGTAGGAAGCTTACATGATTGCAGTGACCCTGGGTGAGTGGAAGAAGAAGCTGGAGTCCCCCAACAGAGAAGTCATTATCCTGCACAACCCAAAGGTGAGCAGGGCCTGGTGATCTCTGTGGTGACACCCCCTTTTTGTTTTTCTTTGTGCTATTCCTTTCAAATGGGTTTGTCCCAATGGCATTCCACTCACCTGCCTGTACCAGAGGAGAGGGCAATGGCAGCTGAGTCTGCCAACAGCTTCACATTTATTTTCAGCACCTCTTTGGGCAAAGGGCTCAGCCCAGCACGGTGTGGTAGCACCCCGTGTCAGCCGGCAGCTGCTGTGGCTGTCTCTGCTCTGGGGTCTCTGACAGGCTCTTCTTGTTCCCAAGCTGATGGTTCACTACCATCCCGTTGCCAGCTCTGACGATTGGGTCTCCACCCCCACGGAACAAGGTCGGCCCCGGACTGTGAAGAGAGGAGTGGAGAACATCGCTGTCGAGATCCCCAACGGTGAGCTCCCTTCTCCCCTCCACCCATCCAAAACCCTGTGGAGTTTCCCAACCTGGTCACTCAAAAGGACTGGCAGAAGCTCCCATGATCCTTGGAGTGAAGTGCACATCAAAACATTTTGTGCCAAAAGGATCCAAATGGTTTCAGAAACCTCCCCAGCCCCAGCGAGTTCACAGCAGCATCAGTGAACGTGCAGAGCTGCAGATCCAAGGGAAGGGTGGTGAGCTTCCAGCTCCTGCCTGAAATTACCCCTGAGCTCTCGATGTCTGGATTTCTACAGGAGGAGTTTCTTGTCCTGCTAGGCACACAGTGGTTTGTCACTTCCCTGCATGCTGGTGACTCTCTGGGGCACATGCTGTCCCCATCTCTGCAGCCAAGTGTCAGCTCTGTCCCCTCCCAGCTGCCCTGAGCTCCCAGTCAGGCCTCAGGACTTGTCCCCATGAGGACATCAGGCAGTTACTCCATTTTGCATGGGTGCCTGCTCTCAGCAAGGCATGTATGCAAACTAAGGTGTGTGGGAAGTAGGGAACAAGCCCTGACTCCACCTGGGGCCTACCTGGGAGA